AGAGAGAGAGAGAGAGAGAGAGAGAGAGAGAGAGAGAGAGAGAGAGAGAGATTGTGCGTTTACTCAGACAAGCACTGTAAGCAAGTCAGCACAAGTCTCTGAGGGTAAAAAGTACAACATATTGAGGTCAAAAAACGCGTGTAAGCTAGGTCCATTGAGCCAATCAGTTTCTGTTCTGGCTTGGCTACCGGAACGATTGCCTGTGACTCAGCGGCTGAATGCAGTTTTAATTTTGGATTATTGACTGCCTGTATGCGTTCGCCTCGTACAGGCCGATCGATAGCCTGCAGTGAGTGCGGCTGCTTGCTGCATGCGCCCAACAGACATTTTGTAAGTAAAGTCGCACGCAGCATCCAATGCAACCAAAAGATAATTATTTAGCAATAATAGAGAGGCGCTCACTCGCCGATCGGTTACAGGACTCGCTTTGTCCGTTGTGCATTGGGGCTCACAAGTTAGTTCTGCCAGCAGCCGCACAACACAGACTGACTGTAACGGATCAGTGAGCGCCTATCTGTCATATTCCCCTGATAAGAAAGAAAGGCTAGAAGTCCTTCTGGTGGATTCTAGATGATTGCTTAGGAAATCATGCCTGGGCAGTCAGTTTACTGTACCTTAATGGTGGACTCCACACGAGCAGTAGGCTGGGCGGGTAAACTGATCCAAGTGTGATGAAATGTAAGAATTCCAACTCAATGGTAAAGCGCTGGCTGTGGTAAACCCTTCCCTGCTGCATGGGTTCGAATCCCACCGAAGCCACGAATTTTTCACAATTGGTACAGCTGAATTATTCCAATCTGCTAAACCCTCCTAATAACTACTGCTACTATTCACAATCGAAACCGGCAGGCAAGGTGTCCATGGCGCGCTTCGTAGAGTGTTGGACTTCTAGCCAACAGGTCGTGGATTCCAGCCTCGGGTACCGCAAAACCTGCGGTTGGATATGAATGGCTGATAACGGCTAATGAGCCCGAAATGGCCATTCCAGTCTCTCTTGGTTTCATCGGTTATGCCATCCTGCCCAGCTAATTAGTTTAAAATATTGTCGAGAAATACAGGCGGGTGTACGTTGCTGACAGATAATTCGCAGACCGTATTACTAAACCTCGTTTACGGATAATAAGTTAACCCAATAAACTCTAAATAGCATATACCGAGAAAAAGTATGAGTCGACATATAATTGAGCCTCGGGTTCAGAAGATGACGAGGGGGCGCATGAGTCACTACATGGACGAGAAAGATAGGTAGAAAATGCCCTCGTGAACACCCGTTCCAATAAGGTGAGAGTTTATAATATGCAGTTGCTGAGGCACAGTCGACAAGGTGTCTGAATTAAAACGTATCACAATCACCTATGAAGCGTCTGCGGAAAAGCACTTAGAAGAGATCCGGAGAAAAGGACCTCAAGGGTCAAGCAAGTGATCTTTGACCGACTACGAAGTGGCCACCATCCGGACCTTCCTTTTTGAATAAAAAAGAACT